TGCTCTCTTCGTGATGTTGAACTTTTTCTGACCAATTTCCCGCAGGTACTGTCACTCCTTCCTTCCTTCTTGCCACAACAATCGGGCGACCTCTTTCCCATGTATACAATATGCACTGCACCACAAATCAGAGGTACCTGTACAAAAATTATGAGCGACATCAGGATAGGAGGGTCCTATGGTGCAGGTCACCTAGTCACTGCTACCAAAATTTAGCCGCCAAATCGGCCGGAAAAAATCTTTTGAATTAAGCGCACCTCTGGAGGGATTTTAGGCGTACTTTTGAATGTATTAGGGTTACTATGTGGTCAGTAGCTGCGTGGGCGGAGTTACAATGAGCTAAGTCGGCTAAGCATGGGAAAAGAAAAGAAAAGTTCGGCCAGGGCTAAGTAAAGTCACCAAATTAGGAAATAAGTTACTTTTACCGGACTCGAACATTTCCAATTATTATTTCTATGGTACATAATGCTGACTGCGAAGCATGCAAACGTGAAATTGAGTCAGTAGACATGAAGAGGTTGTTATGAGCAACTCACCTCTTATTTGCAGTGTGAGTGTTGCCTCCCATCAAGTCGACAATTATTTTGTCATCAACCAAAAAACAGATAATTATGGTTGAATAGGACCGAATTTGGCCCGAATTTGACTCGAAATGGTGAAGTTGGTAGTATTGTGTGTTTCCTCCGATCGTTCTGTCCGAATACCCGTCCTCACGTGATCTCATCAGCCCACTAGAAACTCTTCAGATAAACCGTACTGGGTGCAAAGAAACAGTCACCCGAATTTCGTGGCCGAATTCTCTTTCGAGGGAACAGTAGGGGTTGGGTTGCGATGCCTCTGGGGTCCCGGAGAGGGGGTTGAAAGTCCCCGGGGTGAGTCTGTCGAGGATCGAGCGGAGGTTTGGTTCGCGAAAATCGATGACGACGACAGATAAACTTGGACTTGTTTCGTCTAGCACTAGCCTTTCTGTTGAGCCTCTTGGAGCAATGTGGGCGACCCAGGTTGCCCGAGCGGCCCACACGATTACTGGTATTGATCTGACGTCTGCCAGGCGTTGGCCAGTCCATTTCCAGCCAACGTTACAACGGCACCAGAGCAATTTTTTTAGAAACTAAGTCTACTAAAGTTGGTTTATTCAAACTAGCACTCGCAGAGTGACAAGCCGACCGGCCTTGATTTCGCGGCGCGTCCAAAGTGCATCAGAGCGTGTCGAGGCGCGTCGCGTCACTTCCGGAGATCAAGCTAACATCAATGGCGATCACGATGGCATCACCCAACGAACCCTTACTCCACCCAGGACCACCCTCCTCCCTCCACCTACCATCGCCGCTCATCAACGCAGATCAACGTCTAGCTGCACTTCTTCTGAAACTAAATGAACACCCTCAGGCTCTTCTCATCATACCTACCATGGACAAAGTGTCGACGACGGATCAGCCAGTGTTAGATCTTGGGCAAGAATCTCTTCCGTCAGAACGGAATGAGAAGTTACCAGTCGACTGCTCAGACTGTAACTCCCCCAGTATTACTATGGTGCAGGTCACCTAGCTGCCGCTACCAAAAATTAGTGGCCAAATTGGCCGGAGAAAATTTTGGCTCAGGACACAGCCACAATAGGCACTATTTTTCATTATTTCCACCGCTAGTGGCCAAATTCATGTGCCATTTTTTTTTACCTCCCTCAGTTTTGACTTAAATGGAAATCGCTCTTTAGGATCTTCTTCTATCGTCAAAAGAAACACTTTCTAAAGAGGGATAAGAAATCTGGCCAAAACTCGGCCCGGAAAATCTCAAGCACGGGGTAGCGGCAGCTAGGTGACCTGCACCATAGCCCTGTCCCGGCAAAAACAAAATGCTTGTGAACCTCTGAGCATGACGGGCATGCAGCTCGGTGGAATTTTGATCAACGACGTATGCATATGTAAGTTCCGCCGCTACCAAGGTGATGACTATGGGGTTGTATGTATAAAGAAACTGCACTCCAAAACGCTGCCCATATCTTCTGATTTCACCTTCACCACGTTCGCCCGTAATATCGCGACCCTCCATTCAGCCTCTATTCTTCTTTCTCTCTCCGTCAACGCACAGCTGTATGTCAATTATCACTACATACCTACCTCCGAGCTTCGATTCACACGTTCTGCCTCCTAGCCCAAATCAAAGCGTCAAGCTTCAAACAGTCCTCGGTAGTGGTGAGAACTCCCGCTGTACGAGTTGGAGTCCTTGTCCAAGCGACAAAAAGGAACTGGTAAATGCCTGGCCGCGGCTAGCCTCGCAAACGGTGCTCCCGTCGTTATTGAAGACTATGGCACCAATGCTACGTCCCTCAACTCGTGGGTATCTTCGGGCGGCTCGGGTGTACAAGGCCAGCTGGGACTCAACAGCCAATATGTTCGATTTTCCGTACTACCTTTCCTCCGCTGACTCGTTATTCGAAAGTGTTTGGACGTGACCGATGGAGCTGACGCAAACGGCGTAAAACTGCAAATATGGACTTGTGGCCCCAGAGATGTCGGTAGGCCGCCAGAATCTGTTTCTACTTCAGATTCCTCAGCCTCTCGCAGCGTAACAATTCACTGGTACAGCCGGCTCCACCATCGAATGGGCTGGAGGAAGCAACAACAAAGTTTGTACACCCTCGTATCTTTCTGCACTCAGATGCTAATTCCTTTTTTTCTAGTGTGTGGACGTGACCGATGGAAATCTGGCCAACGGGAACCAGGTGCGCGGATACAGCGTTGAAGTACCGCAAACACACAATTTATACCGACTCCAGGTCCAAATCTGGGACTGCGACGAAAATAACAGTAACCAGAAATTCAACGCCATCCCGACTACGTTTCCGAAGTGGTGAGTCGGTGCAAAGTCAGTCAAAACGTTCATTGCACTGCGCTGACATTCGTTGAATTGTGGAGGTTCACCATCGAGCTTGACCACATCGCCGGAAATTGTATCACCGCAGAGAACACCGTCAACGCTTCGGTGGTGATCAGCACCTGCACCAACGAGGCCACGGGCCAGAGATTCACCGACCCGAGCAACATCGGCCAGATGGCGCTCTACGACAACCTGTGCGTGACACCTGCGGGCAACGGCCTCAGTGACGGGACGAAGCTCGTCTTGGCGCCGTGCGAGGCCGATAACGCCGCCCAGATATGGAGCCACCAGACGGGCATCATCAATAGCCACTCGTTCGCGAAGGCCGTGAGTTCTTCGACTTCATTTCGCTTTGATTGCGGGCGCAAAGCAAGGCTGATGGACGGAACGTACTTACAGTGCATCGACCTGACTGACGGAAATCTAACGGCGGGCAACCAGGTGAGTGGTCAGGCGAATTCTCTTCTTCTATTTGGGTTCGGCGCAGGTTGCTGAAACAAATGTAGCTGCAAATGTGGACCTGCACCTCTCTGACTGGCACGACGGACAATACTAACAAAGACTGGGTTGTTTCCAACCATTGGTGATTGGATGCAATGGATAATCGCAACCTTACTGTACCTAAGCTAAGCTTTGTAAAGCTTATCCACTCGTTTATTGGACAATATTATGTGCATTTCGAAACCTGCGATACTTATACCAAGCTTTAATGCGGACGGGTGAGTTGCGACAACTTTTAACTTGATGTCGAAGTATTCGGCGTCCCTTCGGGCACCTGTCAAGTTCATTAATTAGTAACAGGTTGAGTAGATCTTCATTATCTACCACCTACATTAGACTGATGGAGGAACGAGTCCCCGTGGAGTACAGCAACTGACTTCCTTCAACTGAGCCCCGCCGAATAGCTCCTCGTCTGGGAGTGTTGGTGTTCGAATCCACCTGGGGACATGAATCGCCTCTGTCGGCTGATTTTTTTTTATTCTACTTCCAATCCACAAACAAGTCTACGATGCGCCTATAACACTATACCAGGAACAAAGTTCCTTTGGAGTACACAACTCGCTGCCTCGCATTGCTTGACCAAATGGAGAAAATGATGGTTCAATGCCAGTTCACGGTGGCCTTTTTCTGAGTCGGCTCTTCCTTTCAACCTGCTTTCATGCTCGCTTTTTAAACCCATCTGATTTTCTTTTCTCTTGTACTTCATGTTCGATTTATGGGACCAGTGGATTTTTTTCTTGGATGCAGTTGCGCTAGATCTTCGCATGCAGGTTCCTTGCCTTGCCTTTCCGTCGATTTTTTCTGGTTCAATTTGGTACTGCTTTCGAGTTTTGACGCGACTAGTTGCAAGTCGGATTCTGAGGTGGCATTCAACATCACAAAGGGTAAGCACCAAGTCCCCGTGGAGTAAACCTCAACTCACTGCCTCCGTTTTAAGCCCTTAGAATCCACTATCGCTCAAGGGAGAACCGGTGGTTCGAATCTACCCGGGACATGGAGGTTTGCTCCAGTATGATTTTTTCTTGGGAAGCAAGGGCGCAGATGCAGGCTTTCTATTGGGACGCCCGCGAGTTCAAATAAACTCTACTTCCAATCCATGAACAGGTCCAGCATACATCCAACCCACTACCCAAGGTATCAAGTCCCTGTGGAGTATGCAACTCGCTTCCTTGCTGTAGTAATTCCAGATTATGGTGGGAGAGTCGGTGGTTCGAGCCCACCCGGAACAGTTCAATCAATGGCTTCTTGTTGGCTCCCTTTCCGATTCACGCTGGCCTGTTTCCGAGTCTGGTCTTTCCTTTCAACCTGGTTTCCATGTTCACTTTTTGCAATCCCCACTCATCTGATTTTCTTTCCTCATGTTCGATTTCCGAGTCCTCGCATGACTCTCAGACGCGACTGCTATTGCTACGGAAGGTGCACTTCAGCTGGATTGATTGCCAGACGACTCAAATCAATTGAATGCAACATCAAATTCATTTAAATTTAATGCTCACAGACGACTGAGTATCAATATTCAAACAACTTCCAACATCAAATCCTCACACGCTCAGCTGTGTTCGCAGGTGTTCCCTACAAAAAGAATGGAGTCTACACATTCAACCCACCACACAAGCTCATAAGTCACTGTAGAGTAAAGTCAACTTGCTCCCTCCTGTTTGAGAACTTGATCATCGTTCCAAGGGGAGTCGGTGGTTCGAATCCACCCGGGGACATACCGTGGAATGGGTTCGGTTTTTTTTTTTTCCCTTGAGGGGCAGCTTCAAGGTGTAGGTAGCTACATATATAGCTATGGCGCCCCCCTCTTTTGTGCCAATTTTACCTGATTTTGGTGCTTGGATTCGACGCGAAGTCCTGACCTCAACCAAGCCAACGGGGATGTGGGTCTGAATTCAACCAAGTAAGAGTTTGAATCTAATCCAGTCGCCAGTCACGACCGGACAGTCAAAGGTACTAAGTCCCTGTGGAGTAAGATCAACTTGCTTCCTTGCACTGTGGCACCCAAAACAAAAAATGCTGAGAGAGTCGGTTATTCAAATACACCCGGGGCTATATAATTGCCAGCACAGCTGCACAGGCATCTTTCCGATTCGTATGCAGCTGAGCTTCCTTGCCCAAGTTTCCGTCGAATTTTCTGGCTCAATTTGTTAATGTTTTCGAGTTGGAGTTTTGCGACGCACGACTAGCCGCAAGTTGGATTCCATCGACTGACATTCACATTCAACCCACGACCAAGGGTAAACACCCAGTCCCCGTGGAGTAAACTCACCTCGCTCCCTCCTCTTAGTGTGGGCGGATATACTGTTTAAGGGAGAGTCGGTGGTTCGAATCCACCCGGGGACATGTCCCATCAGTGTGGCAGAGCACTTTTTGACGCAGACTTTCGATGTCCGTATGCATGTCAATGCGATTTCTCTGGGTTTGAATTTTGTTTCTGAATCGATCCCCATGCGCAGATAATCAGCCAGAGTTGGCACGTATCCGTGTATCTGGGTTCAGTTTACCCCAGAAGTTATTCCTGGCAGTGACGTTGTTGGGCGTCTTTTTCCGTCGCATGTTGGGGCGATCCTCGGAACCAGTTGCAGAAAATTTAGTCTCCATACGGGTCACGTTCGGTCAGCACAATGGCAAATAACGTGCCTGCTATTGATTTGGCGCCAGCATCCCAGTACCGCCTCCCTCGAGTATGGAGAGCTTTGGGGCCTGCGGCGTAAGAAATCTGAACAGACAGTTTTGCTTAGAATCATGCTGGCTATCACCTCGGAACCAGTTGCAGACAATTTAGTCTCTATACCAGATCACATTCGGTCGGCACAATGGCAAATAATGCACCTGCTATCGATTCGGCGGCAGCCCCCCAGCACCACCTCCCTCGAGTATGGAGAGCTTTTGGGCCTGTGGCTTAACCACCAGGATGGCTACGGGAAATATGAACAGACAGTTTTGCTTAGAATCATGCTGGCTATCACTTCAAAATCATGTGCAGAGACTTTAGTCTCCATACCATGTCATGGAGAGCTTTTGGGCCTGTGGCTTAACCACCAGGATGGCTACGGGAAATATGAACAGACAGTTTGCTTAGAATCATGCTGGCTATCACCCCGAAATCAGGTGCAGAAAATTTAGCCTCCATACCCGGTCACGTTTTGACAGCGGCGGTTTGTGTTGATCATTGTAAAAGGTATTCCACGGCAATTTCTTTTGATATCCAGTACGTTTTCTCTTTGACTATTCTGTTATAACCGAAAATTGCTGAATATATTAGATCTTATAAGGCAGTGTTGGGACAGCTGTCGCCGGGCGCCTGCGGAAGGTACCTTGTCCTTAGTCCCAACTGGGATCTAACGGCGCACGCTGAAATTGATCACTGAAGTTATCCTCCATCCGTGAATTGAGTGATTCAATAGCGGTTGTGCGTGACACCAAGAGGCTTGGACAAAATGCAATAGCAATGACCTCTCCGCCTTCATTTTCGAAACCTTGTCTCTGTTGACCGTAGGATGTTTGTGCCAATTTGATTTATTTTTTTGCTGAAATTGGGGCAGGTGTTGGGCTTGCTGACAGTCAAAAATATCGGAACGGAATGCCACCAAACCACGTCCCGTCCGAGAGATCTCATACTTACGGAGAATGAAATAAGCAAGCTCAAAGTGAAAGAAATTCATGAACAACTGGACAAACATCGGACACCCTGGAGCTCTGGCATGACGGTCATTCCTCGGAACTATCGGCTGAAAAACAAAGCCTCGAAACTGTGTGCTCTTCGCATTGCTGTTTCAGAATATTCGAGACGCATTCACCAAGGTTCAGATATAGGAGATAGTGACACTTTGGTTCCCGGGAGCAGAAGGCACTCAGCCAAAATGTTGGATTTGGCATTGGATGAGCTCCAGCCGGAGACAGGCAACGGTGGGATGGGGGTCATCCTCTAGGGTCATGTCCTGATAGTTGGGCGTGGGATGGACTCCAGAACAAAAAAGCCACGGCGTTTTGGATTTGGGTGCTCATTACGTATTCCTTTGCTAGCTCTTGTAGCTATGGTGCGCATCGGCTAAACACCACCAAATTGGAATAATCAGTGATGCCATCATTGATGTCTCAAATCGAGGCCACGAAAATTTTCAAATTACATACTACCTCTTTCGACGTCTCCACACTTGACTATGGGTCGCAAGAAACACTTTCATTGTGAAGCAGCTGCCCGGGCTCGCAAGTGGGGCATCCAGCGTCAATCACCATCGAATACGAGCCAGAGGACCCGCGCCATCAAGAAGAAACTCGATGGACAGGCGGTGTTACATCAGGAAAATCCGAAATTCTATGAAGACACAACCAGCATTATCCAAGTCTTTGGTGATCTTTGGTAGTCTATGAAGACGTACTGCCAGTCTATGGGTGTCTTTCATGCACTCTGGATGTCTATAGATTTGGAGCCCCTGCTTCAATGTCTATTGTAGTCTCGAAAGCTGAACTGTGTGTCTATGAGTACGTGGGTAGATTTATAGTCTTCAGACCCAAAGTATTTCTCAAGCTTTGACATTGCGAACAAGTGCAACTTCAGTCCAACTCGGCCTCATTGTAACGTCAAAAAACACGGTTGAGTCGTTTTGATACTTCCTTTAGCAGGGCAAATTCTTTGAAACACGGATGTATTCCTACAGAAGTAAATATTGTAGTCTCCGATTGGGGGAGAAGCGGACTTGGACTTAATTGCTCCGAGTCGGCCAAGTCGGCCAAGTGAATGCTGCCCGCATCAGTGTCGTTCGAGTTTCAGTCCGACATTGCCGATATGACAGTGGCGGCTGGGTTCGCCGCCCGTCGAAAGGAAGTTGATCATGCCACGTCTCTCTCTTCCCTTCACCCACCATCAAATATGCAATCTGCCTCCCGTTTCCCACTGTGTCGCTGCCGTAGCTCTTGCTCTCGCGTTTTTCACTACACCTTTAGCAAGCAAGCTCCCCTCAAGAGAGAAAAAACGAGAGAACAACCGCACGATACCGGATTCCCATGAAAATGTAGTGACAGCAACTCTAACCTCCAAGCTCTGGTATTCAAGAAGCCTCAAGTCCTCACAAGACTCCACAGCCGATATTCTCCCTGTCCACTAGCAGCGCACTCTGCCTCCACGCTCTCAGCAAGCTCAAGATCTCAAATTTGAAATGTGCTCATACTTGGTCTCCAAGACAATATCTCGGTCCGAACGGCTCTCAATTTGCTACGGCATGCAATATCCGGCCATCGCAACTCCGATCTTAGAGTTTTGACCAGATAGTCCATTTTATTCCGCCAACATCCCTCCATGTCCTCCATGTCCTTACGTTCTGTGTATCTGTCTGTACTACAGTTGCGGACAATCAAACTCAACAACTCCCACCAAGCCGAAGGGGCCATCAAAGTTAAAGTTAGCTCTGATAAGTTACTTTTTTCACTCTCCTTGAACACACCATTTTGTCGGCTCGCAACGATGATGTTGATGAGTTGAACCAGATGCTGTTGGACCGATTCCCGGGCCAGGAACATATTTTCAACAGCGCGGACTCCTTGATCACGGAGCAAGGCGTGGACAGCAGGAAATCAATCAAGCTAAGTGGATGAAAATGACCGCAACGGCCAGGGCCATTCGATCCCAGTGAGCACACCTCAAAATCCCAGAGTATAATGAATGTCAAGTCTGGATTCTGGGATTTAACTCGAAGTTTCTGCCTAAACCAACCAAGACTTCGGTTGCTTCGATTAAATTATCCTTTGATGATTTCACTCGGAGGCCGCCGCTTTCAGATGCGGCCCGTTGCGAAACCTTATTGGCGGTCATATTCTGATGTGGAAAAGGGACCACGGACTTGCGTTCCCAAATTCCATATTCCTTCAAAGGAAGCCAAAGCGGAGAAAATTCTCCAGCACATGGAGAATGCGTGAGATCTGGCTGGAAACTCTCATTAAAATTGTCGAAAATCAACAATGCATGACCATCCGCCCGAATTAAATGCAAGAGAATTTACCAAACTCTGAAGATTCTTGAAGATGAGCAAGTAATTTCTGTGCCACCAGATAGATAAAAATCTTGGACTCTGTTAGTAACTGCAGAGTGGTACTATGATGCAGTCTGGAAGCTGCTCATAAACCCCTCTTACGTCGAGGATGAACCGGACCATTTATTGCTTTGGAGCAGTTTACAAGCTATCCTTGCCAAGTCAGAAATCCTGACACGGCGATATTCTCGCTGCTCGTATCCGGTGATGTTGTTGCAATGTATCCCAATATACCAATTGAGGATGGAATAAAAATCATTGCCGACTTGCTGGGCGTTCTCTGATGAGGAGGAGTTCTGGGTAAACGCGATGGGGGAGGATAGTGATGCCGCAGAATACTTTGCACAATGGAAGGAAGAGATGGGCGATATCTTAGCTCATGTCATGTCCAAAGACATCAGTTCTGTATAGTTTTCCCATGAGACGCCCGCGAATTTCTTATAATTCAAGTTTCTGGGTTTCGCCCAAGTCGCCTAAAATGAAACCGCACCCAAGATTGGACGGCTACTTTAGTTTTTCCTGGTGGCAGCCCGAACCAGTAGCGTGAAATGGCCCCAGCACGGAGGGAATCTCGGAATTCCATCTCATTTGAATCAGTAGTGGTCACATTTAACATCCTTGCCTATGCCCCGCCTAAAATGAAATCGCACCAACGATTGGACGGCTACTTTACTTTTTGTTGGCCACAGACCGAACCAATAGCATGAAATGGCCCTAGCACAGATGGAATCTCAGAATTCCATCGCATTCGAATCAATAGTGGTCACATTTAACATTCTTGCCTATGCCCCACCTAAAATGAAATCGCACCAACGATTGGACGGCTACTTTACTTTTTGTTGGCCACAGCCTGAACCAGTAGCATTAAACAGCCCTCACACGTATCGAATCTCGGAATTCCATCACATTCGAATCAATAGCGGTCAGATTTAACATCCGTATCCTGTTTTGCCTATGCCACGCCTAAAATAAAATCGCACCAAGGATTGGACAGCTACTTTACTTTTGCCGGCCACAGCCCAAACCAATTGCATGAAATGGCCCTAGCACGGATGGAATCTCGGAATTCCATCACATTCAAATCAATAGCGGTCACATTTTCTTGCCGATGCCCCGCCTTAAATAAAATCGCACCAACAATTGGACGGCTATTTTACTTTTTTGTTGGCCACAGCCTGAACCAATAGCTTGAAATGGCCCTAGCACAGGCCCCCTCTTCCGGGCCTGGCTCAGTTTGGCCCGGCTTTGGCCCAAGCTGGGGCTTTTGGTAAGTGTTTCTCCCTCGCTTCAGGTGGGCTCCAGTTCATCCGAAAA